CTTAAGTGATAAAGACAATTCAATGTCATGTTGTTAAAAATAATATTTTCTGACTCGACCCGACCCCGAGTCAGAAAAGTTTGATCAAAAGCAAGATTTGAACCACAATTTCTGCAAAAATCTTACTTTTGATCAAACTTTGCCCTGTTACAAATGGCGAATCAAAGAGCCAATCAAAAATCGACTAACGGTGTCCATACTCTCACTAGAGGTACTCTAAGCCCTACTAGATAGCAACGACACTAGTGACCAGAGGGTGAATTATAATTCACGCGGCAAATTTAAAAACAAATATAACTTGGCAAATAAAATGCGATACTGACTGACGAGCGATAAATCCGTTGTACGGAAACGCCATGGATATGTTATTTGGCGTACTCTTTCCTCGTGTGGTCTCCGTGTGGTTTACGATCTTGTCTCTACATTATTTTTCTGATTTTTCTGGATCCAATACGACCACGTCTAACCACTTGTCGTCGATTGTTCGTCAATATAAGCTGCGTTCGGCATTGCAAATCCGAGGCGTCGGAGTGCTCTTCCTCCCTTTCTATCTCGTTCTTCTCCCTCGCTCACTCGAATGCAAAAGAGCACTCCGATGCCTCGAATTTGCAATGCCGAACGCAGCTATAGACGTGGTAGAATTATTTGAGCAAGTTTAAATTTATTACCACAATGCAGAGACCCAACTATCGGGCCTCACGCGGGATGACAATCGGATGATGTAACGTCGAAGATAAAAATTTCTCTTCTAGGTTAGAAAAAGCTGCTCACTCAACGTCCCAAGCGGAACTCGATGGACAACGTCAAGATCAAAAAGACTATCTTGGTCAAGATTATCAACGGCTATATTAGCCCTACTAGATGGGTAGTGACACGTGGTGGCGATATCAGAAATTAAAAATGGCTTCAATAAGTGAGCTACCCCCACCACTGAAAATCTTCTGAGTTGCAAGACCTGTATGTAAGACCGTGGTCTGGACAGAGCTGAGAGCAGGAACACAAGCGTGACACTGTGCTCAACCGTTTCAAGAGACTGTTTTGCCACAGTATAAGTCCCAGTCTACAATAGATGATTTAAGCCCTAAGCTTTAGTCCCAGTCTACAATAGAGGATTTAAGCCCTAAGCTTTAAGAAATTGACCAATCACGGTCAAGTACGAGTAGAATACGCGATTGTGATTAGTCAATTTCTTAAGGCTTAGGGTTTAAATCTCTATTGTAGACCGGGACTTAAGAAATTGGTCAATCACGGTCAAGTATGAGTAGAATACGCATCTCTGTTGTAGACTGGGCCTAAAGCCCGCTGCGGACGATGCTATTTTTCCTGCTGGATTGCTTGTGATTTAGAAAATTACTATCGTTGCACCACTCAGCACTCAGGATTCCTAGTAGTTTAGTAAATCGCAAGCAATCCAGCAGGAAAAATAGCATCGTCTGCAGCGGGCTTAAGGGCGCACGAAACAGTCTCCTGAAACGGTATCGAGAAAAACACAGGCCGGTATTCAAAAGCCAATGGCACACAATACTACTTTTTCTACTGGATTACTTACGAGAGCCAATCAGAATGCCGAGTTTTCGATCAAATGACTTAAGGCTAAATCCTGATTGGCTCTCGTAAGCAATCCAGTAGGAAAACTAGTATCGTGTGCCGTTGGCTATAGTCGATTCTTATTTCAAAATCACGGCTCTGTGATTGGTTAAAAACACATTGGCCGCGTTCAGCAGACACAACTGTTGAGTGAGCGCTCAGTATGATTGGTTAATACTTTTAGATCCAGCCAATCATATTAAGAAATCATTGAGCGCTCACTCAACAGTTGTGCCTGCTGAACGTGACCATTGACTGTGTCCAGCAGAAGTTAGCGCTTGCTAAGCGCTTTGCGCTCATTAGATTATACTTTCAGATCTGTGCTAAAATAGAGCTATTCTTCTAGATCTATCCAATCAGCATAAAGCGCTTATTAAGCGCTAACTTCTGCTGAACACAGCCATTAAGAGTATAATACTTAAGGCCTTCACACATAAAATTCCGTAAGGACGTAAAACGTAAGCGTAAGAAAATCAACAGATTGGATTTGCTACTGTTTGCGTTATTGCCTTACGTTCTCGACTGTGGTTGGTCGACTTTCTTACGCTTACGTTTTACGTCCTTACGGAATTTTATGTGTGAAGGCCTTTAAGATAATCTTAAATATAAGAACGGACTACGAATACCGTTCAAAGATGGAAGACGCTAAAAGCGCACTTTCAGAACACACCTTTAAGCCTATCACACAATAACAGGCAATAGGAACAGGGAATAGAATTTTTGACGCGTTGGATTCGTCGAAAATTTTCTTCCAACCAATCCAACGCGTCAGAAATTCTATTCCCTGTTCCTGTTGCCTGTTGCCTGACTTGAGGCCTGTTCTTTATTACTGCACTACTGAACTAGTGCAATAAGTTAAAATGAAACAAATAGATTACCTCTCATTCCAACTCATTGCACCAGTGTGCACTAGTTCAGGAGTGCAGCAATAAAAAACAGACCCATTGTGTGATAGGCTTAAGTTGCGTGCGGAGAAGCCGACCAATCGCGCGTCTCTAACCTAAGGTCCGCCGCGTTTGTCGCTTGTCGATCGATCGATTTCTCCCGTTGGTCGCTCCGTGTAAATAGACCCGCATCCTCAGTCTAGAAAGGCGCTCACCCGCGCGAGCGTGCACGCCCGTCGTCGTCAGCGCTCGAGGAGGTTAGCGGCGCGGGGCTGGGGGGAAGATTCCACTTCCAAAAGCGTGCATCTTCTGTCACAGCGGGAGGGCCGGGAGGGAGAGAGCCGAGAGAGAGAGTCAGTCCGCGAGTTTCGCTCGTACGCGCGTGTGATATCAGTGGAGGTGCGCGGCGCAGGATTCGCCAGAGGTATCGACCCTACGTCATGTATCGATAAATTCGCGTCATCGACGAGAAAGAGAGAACGTTTTCAGCGAAAGCTGTCGTCAGCGGCAACGAGATCGCGAACGAGACGAAAACGTGTCCGGCGGCAGAGAAAGAGAGAGAGAGAAAGTGAGGGAAAAACAAACTAAAGGAGCGACGGAGGCCGGCGCCGCGCGGAGGGTGGCTGTTCGAATCGGCGGGGTGCGCGTTCCCAAATAAGGCGTTCCCGAACGCCTCGCGGGGGGAGCCCTCGGCTCCTTTCCGCGCGCCCCGCCGCCTATTCGCGGCGTGTGGCGGGAATACGAATTGCAATATCTCGCCCCTTCGCGTTCCATTGTTTTTCTCTCCGCCGTTCTTTCGTCTCTCGCGCCCGAGCCAACGGCACCTTGGAAGTGCGAGATATCGCGCCGCGATAACGCGGCGGTCGGATAACGATAACCGCAGGCCGCGCTTATCGGCTTCGCCGCCTCGTTCGCTGGTCGGCGGGTAGCGGGGGGCGTCGCGGAAGGAAAGAAACAACGGAGCGCAATCTCTTCTCGCGGAGCGGCGTAGAAATCCGATTTTTCGAATTTCCAACCCCGTGCGCGACGTCACAAGGACACGCGGCGGGTGTTCGCGCCGTTTCTCGGGAGTCTCAGGGTGCTCGCGCGCCGCGAGTAGGTCAGGACGAGAGTGACACATATGCGGAGCGCGTATTATTTCGAATCGTTCGTGAATCACGGTCTCTCTCTCTCTCTCGCTCGGGCGCGGCCGCGCTCGCGCGACCCCGTCTATTTCGGTGAATCGAAATCATTTTTCGATGCACCATGTAAGGAGCGCGGGAAGCGCTCTCTTTCTCTCTCTTTCTCTCCCCGTCCTCTCGTCCGCGATAATCTGCGGAGTCGTTCGTTACGCATG